TGATGCAGCCGTTCAGAATAAATGAAAATAAAAACTACATTTGCTTTCATACAAACTACAGCACGAGGAAAACAAGCCAGTTTTCTCCAATGCTTTAGCAACTCATCTTTGTACCTCACAAGCTAACATAGCTGTCATTAATTCAGAACTAGCATGTTAACATTAGACTAACATTTTAAAAAGCCTGATTAATGAAGCTTTGTTGTAATAAAAAAAACAGAGAACATACAAATTACTTGCTACTTTTGTTATACAGTTTTGACTTAACTGGCCCTTAAATTGACTTTTTTGAGTCTGTATTCAATTACTACATTTTTAGCAATTATTGCAATAATTGATTCACCACGATTAATCGTTTCAGCCCTAATTTTTATGACCAAAACAACAGGGAGAACCTTTATAAGGAGCCCAACTATACAGGTACTTTAGTCTCCTTTGCAATAAAACAAAGATTTCAACATTTAGACCAATTACAATAAAAACGATTACCGTTTACTGCTACCTCTGTCCATTAGGACCATAAAGTAGCGCTGTAGCTCCCAGCTCCCTTCATTTTTAGCCTCTACATTCAGTCCCCAGACAGCAGGCAACACAAAGGCCCATCAATTTCAAATGTCAGCGGCGTGTGTTTGTGTGCGCCTTGCTGCGGCGAAACATGTCAGGGGACTTGTCTGTTATTTATCATAACCCCAGAGTCTCGCTAGGTTATCAAATGATGTCCATGGAGCAGATCTGTCATCCTAATCCTTATAGCCCTCCCCCAACACACACACACCTCTATCACCCACCTAAAGCCACTTCTCTTCATCTCACTCCTGCTGTCAGATGGTGTGCCTTTAAAGCCTCTGACATCCACTGAGAAAGTCAATCACAGAGAGCAGATATTGGATGGTCTTACAGGGATTAGGGTCAAGTCAACATGGAGGACAAACTAGGAAAAAAGAAGAGATGAAAAGAGTAAAAAAACTAAAATCATGAAGAAAAAGAAAGGCTAGGGGATGTATAGAGGTAACCTGGCTCCATATGTGCTGGTCTGAAGTCTGCAAGGCATCATGTGGGTAAATGGGATTTCCTAGTGAGGGGAGGTGAACAGGGGCTTAAAGCAGCTCAACTGATCTCCAGGGAATCAGGAGGATTTGATCTTAGTCAGCATAAATCCAAGGAGGAATATGAACAAACAATCTGTTGATTTTTAATGGAGATACACAATTAAAAAACACAAAAAAATAAAAAATAAAAGTGCAGTATGCAAGTAAATAACCAAAGGAGGGATAAAACAGCACAGTTACAGTCTTACTGGAGACAAATATAGTCTGAATGGTTTTCATTCATGCTGCATTACACAGAACCGGATACAACGCAGAGCAAATGGCTAAAACTGATTCTAAATTACCCGCCCTGCTTCAGCTGCAGCCTGTTAGCAGTCACAGTATATAACCCATCATCTGAGCTGCTAACTCCTGCATTCATAGTTTCCATTAATGGCAGCATGAAGAACAACAAGGTCAATGTTTACACTGGAAACAATCTCACTGAGGTGGATGTGGGCACAAAGAGCATCTCCTATCTGGATTTAATTATTTAGCAGGTGGGAGTGATGGCTGCTTCCATTTTTCATTAATAATGGAGCTATAGGCTGGGTCTGTATGTGCTGATGTCTTAATATGAAGCTAAGATGTTTAACTGCACCTTCAATTATTCAATATTCATTAAAGAAATCAGATTTCATACGGACAAGCAGCAGTAAAATCTTCATGATTTTAGATTTTTTTTTACTCTTTTCATCTCTGGAAATATTCCAGAGTTAATTTTAAGAAATGAATATACTAAGAAAATGTAAATTTACTGACGGGAAGAATTTACATATGGAAACTGCAAAGACAAACAAAGGGAAGAAAAAAGGACAAGACAGAAAGGAAGGATACAATGAAGGAAACAGAGGAAGAGTGGAGAAAAGGAAAGGACGAAGGATGGCAATACTATAGCAATAGGAAATGGAGAGATGAAGGGAATTAATAAAGAAAATGGAACAAGGAAGGAAAGGAACAATGGATGGACACAAATGAAGAAAAAAGTTATAAACAAGAGAGAAAATAGGTAATAATGAAAGAAGAGACAAAGAAGGAAAGAAAGAAGAGTCTAAAGTAAAGAAGGAAAGAATGGTAGAACAACCAAAAGAGATGAAGGAAGGAAAGAAGTAATGAATGAAAAGAAAGGAACAGAGAACATCAGGAAGGAGGAAAGAAAGTAAAAAGGGGATGCAGGAAGAAATGAAAAAAATGAGACAAAAAGGAAGGAACAATCCAGAGAAAATAAAAGGATGAAAAGAAATTAAAGGAAGAAAAGGAGGAAGGAACAAAGGGAATGAAAGGAAGGAAATAAGGATGCAATGAGAGAAAGAAGGAAAGTCACTAGACAAAATAATCACAATGGGAGAAAGAAAAGAAATCAGAGAACACCAATAGGAAGAGAGAAAGGAAGGTCACAGAAAACAAAGCGGTATAGGAAACATTTGAATAAACAAATGAAACGAGAACAACAATGAGAGAATATCTCTGAACGGTTTTCAGTGACATAGAGGAAAACGTAAACATAATATCAAACAAATCCGCCGTCATCCTTTCTGAACCCATGATGATACATTGACACCTTCAGATCGCAGACACACACTGACTAATGGTAATGAAAATAAAACTGGTTCAAAATGGATTGTTGCTGTAGTGCGGAGCCCTGCTGAGGTCCAGAGATAACCGGCTGGTTAATGAGCTGCAACTCCAAGGAGAAAAATGCCGGTTGAATGCCAGTGCTGGAGGCTTATCTCCTGATTCACACATGAGAATTCACCTACTGCACAAACACACTGCAAGGCGTTACAGCAGGAAAAGATAGATTAGGTGAAATAAGCTGAAAACACAATGGAGACTTTATTTCACCAAATTCATTAAGTACTAATAACAGCCGTCATTTATTAGGTTGGATCACTTTGAGCTGAGGCTTCCTGTGGTTTCCTTCAGTTAATGTCATTTCTGGTGCTACTGCAGAGAAACAACCACCAAGCTTTAAATTCACATCACTAAATGTTTTAGGTCAGTTAGGATTACCAAATACCTATTTTGTTTCTTAAATGCAAAAAACAAGTGGTTTGCATGAATTTTCTTAATATTTGATCTGTAATCTGGATACTTAAGTTGCTTTTGGAGTAACGGCTTCTTCATTCCTGTGCAGCTTTTCAGAGTCAAGATGCTAAATTTCAAAAGTCGTTGCTGCAACAAAGACGTGGAAAGCAAAAACATCATAAATATGTTATCTATAGTGTGATGTTTGCTTTAGGTCATAAGAGTGCTAAATTATTAGTTAATGTGTTCTATCAGACTGAAAAATTCACTTAAGCGAATGACTAATCTTTAGTCTAAAGCAGACGACAATCTTACAACTTTACCAAGTGAAAAAGGCTTACAGTTAGTCATTTTGTAATGTTTGTCTGGTGTTCAAGTGAAAATTTGCTGTGACACTGTACAGCAGCCAGATCCACTGTACTGTTCACCTAAGAAACCAGGATGAAATGTGTAAAAACTACAAAAAATTTAAACTATGAATTGCTTTAGAGGCATTAAAATGATTCCATGGGGTCAGGGTTTTATAAAAATCTGAAATTCTTTTTGAAGCAGCCACTGAACTATCTTCTAAGTTTTTGTCTTCTGGTTTTAATTTATCAAAAAAGGATGAGTGGATTAAGTTGGGGACTGGAGAATGAGCAGGATAGCCGCTGCTCTGCAAAGCACCACAAGCTTCTTGTTTTAACCTAACAAGCAAAGGCATATATTTAGGATTTAAAATTGCATTCAAAAAAAGATCCAGACCAAATTCCTGCCTAACTGTCCTCTCATCCACAGTCACGTCCTCAGGCAGCAGCCGCATCACATTCTTGGCATTTTCGCTAAAAGCTAATTATGGCTTCCAAGGCAAGCAGCTCAACAACCCAGTGGATTCTCTCCCAATTAACATCACAAATAAGAACAAAAAAATCCCCTCAAATCTGTGCTGATAATACAGCAGCTGGATTTTCCAAAAGGCATGCAAGCCCTAGAGCAGAACACACTCAATACCGGTTCATTGCAAGACGTTAAACCAGAAATTCAAGGAAACGACACACTGACACACTGCAGCGTGGGATCAATAGAAGAGACACGAGCAGAACTGTTGTGAAAGGACGTTTTACATGCTCCAGCTAGATTCAAAACACATGCAAATGCTGCAAAATTCAAACATGACACAGTTTTAGAGGTGACTCAGACATAAAGGCAGACAGTTTGTACGGAGAAAAGCTGCTGGAGCATGTTTGGGTGAGCTAAATCAAATTCCTGCTGGTGGTAGACAGAGAGCTGACTGAGTCAGGGTCTGTAGGTGTGGTGTGTTTAAACAGGAAGTGGGCTTTGCGCCAATATCCTGTGTATCTCCAGGAAGTGGGGATCTTACTTTGGGCTCAAAGGTGAGCAAGGCATTCATAGCGAGTTGTCTTTAAACAACAAGTTTAGCAGGACGTTAAGGAAATAAAGGAAACATGTGCACCTCAGGTGTAGACATGAATGTCTCAACAGATACATAAAGATTTTTCATCACAAACCAACTAAAAGTCCACAACATGGAACAGAGCAAATGTCACGGATGGTTTCAAAAATCTTGGCAACTAAACTCTGAAAAGCGGAAGTAAAACATATTGTGTTGTAAAAATACTCCTAAAGGTACATAATTTCCAAAATGTTATTCAAGTAAAGTATCTACTCCAACTCTGCCAACTCTGTTTGTTTACTCCAATATAGTGTGCTAGGTTTTATTTAGGGGTGTCATTCAGAGTCCAGCATGAACATCACGCTTTTCATACTAATAAATGCAAATATATTTTTCATTTTCAAGCATTTTGTGTTGCTCCATCACATAAAACAGTAAGGTTTGTAGTTAAAATGCAAAGCAAAGCATCCCATACAAAAAGTATTACTCACGGATATATGGAAGACCTCTTGAGTGTCATCGAGCATCTGAACCCGAATGGAAACCTGCCGTCCCGGGGCCTGGACCGGAGGACGCATGCCGGGCTCCAGTGTGGATACTCCGAAGCTTTCCGGGGCGCCCAGCCGCTGTCCGGCTGTGGAGGGCCTCTCGGTCAGTTCAGACATGGTGATGGGCTTTTAAAAGGCAGCAGGGACCGATGTTCACGTCTGATGGAGAGAAAGAGGACAGAAACATTGCTCAGATGCAAAGAGTTGATTCATTAAAAATCTGAGATTTGAATTGTGACAAGATGGCTGACCTCTTTCCATAAAATTACAGTTTACATTTTTTAAGCACATCATTATATTTGAACGGTTTTATGTGAATTGTGTTAAATTGTTGACTGAATACACAAGAAAATTTACTTATCTCACATTGCTACATCTAAACGTCACAATTTTTACAACAGCTTTTCTGTCACATTAGCTTAGCTTTCGTTGCAAAACCGTCAGTTTACATCCAAACCTGCCTAAATTTGGACCGTTTCTCTTTCAATGTCTGGTATAGCCCATCACATTCTTTGTTTTGTTTTTTAACAAAGCCTCATAAAGTGCAATTTACACCCCAAACCAGACTCCATTTGGACGGTTTCTCGTTCAGGTTTCTGTGTACTCCGCCGCCATCTTTGTTTTTAGAGCCATTGGTTCCGCCCAAGGATGACCAGCGGCGCCCCCTGTTTGATGGAGGCCAAACTACAACAACATTTCCAAGTGGACATTTTTAGTAAATGTAATGGAATTTATTTTAGTCTAATAAACATGAATCAATAATTAATAGCAAGTCGATTAATTGATTGGATCCCAAAATCCCTAATTGGTTATTTAGTGGGATTTAAGCTGGCTTTGCACAATGTTTAAACCACAAAATATTCCACTGAGTTGTGAAGAAATTAGCCACAAACCACAACACAGCAACAGCAGACAGACATGTCTCACACCTTCCCAGACGTTCAAAAATTCCAGCAGGTGGGATCTAAACACAGACCTCCATTCAGGACCAGCCCAGACTTGAATGCAGGCCTCCAGACTGGAGATATATGGTCCAGTCCAGAGGGTTTCTGTCTGCCTTTCCCTTGCTTCCATCCCACACTTGATAAATCTCAATCGTCGGCAATAAATATCCTCTCTCTAAGGCAGTCAGTGACATCAGGGTGGAGGAATGTCTTAGAAGACAGACAGGAGGGTTGCTCACTTCTGCACTGCCTCGACAAGAGATCGAGGAGAGGAAGGTGGCCTCAGTTCAGTAACCTCTTAAATCTTTAAACCAATCAACCATCCTGCACCAACAATCTGAGGACACCGTGCATTTTTATTCCCTTTTGAGCCAAAGTTTAGCAGCTAAATACAGATTATATCAAATATTTGCATGTAAAACATTAAATCACACTAAACATTTCCTGTTTTGGGTCAGTTAAAATTATTTCTACTACTTCAATATCAGAAAAATTAGAGAATATATTAATATGTTATTAAAGTCTGAAGTCAAATAAAGTATCACTTGGGTCAAACATTTTGGATCTACTTCCTTGAGCCTAATTTTTTTTCCAGACAGAACTGGTGGAACTGACACAAACACATTTTCAACTCTGTCCACAAATTTTTCATAAGAATGACATCAAAGTTTTGTTATGCCTACACAAAAAAACATTTGATTCATTGTCCTGAAGCCACTTTGTAACCAGTTTGAATGGGTGCTGAGAGTCATTTTCCATTTCCAAAACCCATTTCCAAAACTTCAACTTTCTGGCTTCAATATTTCAATATTTTGCTTCATGCTGCAGCAAAATACCCCCACAAGTTGATGCTGCCACCCCATTCTTCACAGTTCTCTACTCTCCAAATATATTGATGGCCAAACATGTTTTTCTTGCTTCAGACCACAGAACATGTCTCTAAACATTTAGGTATTTGTCCCCAACTGTATTTGCTTTTAAATTGATGACTTTGCTATCTTTTTATACAGGCAGGCTTTAACTATCTACAGAGTTTTAAATATTTACAGTCGAGGCGGTTGACATCAAAGTGTTCTATGTAATTCACATTGTCAACAGGATGATGGAGCGACAGCCACTTAAAACAAGAAATAATAAGAAAAAGTTGTAGTTTTACACAGAAAAATAATCTGCAAATTCAAATAATAATATTTTTTTTAATCAACAGCATAAAAATCCACTTTGGAGTCAATATAAAAGGCCTCAATAATTTCAAAGGGTTTTTACTGTATGAAAGCAGCAGCCAGACCAGATCAAAGGATGAGAAAACAAAGTGGATCAGGAAGAGTTGGCTAGCAGCGGCAGTAATCTATGTCAGGCATCAGGAATTTAACCTCTTTTCAAGTCTGTATTTTCTCTCCATTATTTGTTTTTGTTTTTACATATGCATGAGATCTGATAATATTATATATTATATATTGCTTATTTTGAGCACCTTTAATCATTTAATCAAAATAATATCCTCAGATTAACCTTTGTTTGAGGATCTGAAATACTTAAATGTGACCAAAAAAGCAAAATAGTGAACTTTTTTAACTTCTGAAACCCATATCTGAGCTTTAGTATTGGTCGATATCAGTCCTATACGGAGAAACACTAATATATTGACTTAAAACGTTTTCATAGGAACTCTAAATATAATGCAAAATAAAATTTTAAAAAGAACACACAGCAAAAACACTAAATCTTATCAAATAGTTTCCAGTGCAAATATCTTAGTCAACTTGAAATAAAACTAACTTAAATGTAACTTTACAGCAAGATATAGAGGCTTGTTTTTAGTAAATAATTTCTTAACATTGATTACTTCCACTAGCAGATGAATTCACTTAAAACATGGGAAAAATGTCTGACTCTAAGTGAAATAATCTGCCAATGGAACAAGTACTTTTTCATCAGTATTAAAGAATCATTTACTAAAGACAAGCCTCTATAAGTTACTAAGAAGTTACTTGCAAGTTAGTTTTGTCTTATATGAAGAGTATTAAGATATTTGCTCCAGAAACTAGACCAAAAGTACTTGGTAAGATTTTGTGTTTTTGCAGTGTAAAGCATAGAATTAGACTGAGAAGATTGGGTATCTGTGATAACTCTATAATGTGTCTTCTTTGCGTTAATTTTGTTACATTTATAGCTGTTTCTCTATCAGTCACCTGTTTGCTCTTTATTAAGGTGATCCAGGTGTAAAAAGACACAAAATAAATCCTTTCTTAATCCCTGCGGGTGTCATTACCTCCGCTCACCTCCTTGACAAAAAGCTGGAACTGGAAACTGGAGCCGAATCAAGAAAGTGACCCGACTATAAAGGGAGCTGACATTCAAGTTACTGATTACACCTGTGGGAACATTGGCTCGCCTTTGTGTGCTACTTCCTCCACAGCGTTAAGTGAAAGCTTATCAGCAGTCCGGTATCGGTGGGTAGCCGTGTTCCAGCCTGCTAGTTTACAGCCCTAATTCACTTTGTTACTCACAAGCAGGTGTTGATTATCTCTAGAAACTGAAAAAATCCAACTTGATCTGAAGGAGTGTTCCTCCATCACAAATGAACCCATAAAACATTTCTGATTTGAGACTCTGGGATCAGTGTCACCAGCAATTACACCCAGAGAGGAAAAAAATTGGGAGGTTTCCTCATCACCCTCTGTCTTCAGCAGGGAGGCTGGTTGTGCAAGGGTGGAATACAGAGTGAGCCGGTCACACAGCAGGCACAAAGGAAGCCACTGTGGGAGCGTCAGGCAGCCCGGCTTTAACTCACCAAGGCCTCCAGAGACGCCTTTCAACTGGGGTTCGCCCAGCGTTTCCCAAGAGATGGCGACTGGACCCAGGAGCCTGGGAATCAGATGAGCCATCCCGCGCATTTTACGTCAGAGAGGGGTTATGAATCCACTTCTAAACATTACATTTTGCTCATACTTCATAAATTTATATGGGGAAATTTCCTCAACATTCTTACAGCACCGCAAAAATACAAAGTTTTACCAAGTAGTTTCGTGTCCAAATATTTTAGTAATATTGACATAAGACAAACTAACTTAAAAGTAACTTTTCAGCAATATAAAGAGGCTTGTTTTAAGGAAATGATTCTTTAATATTGATGAAAAAGTACAAGTTTTACTGGAACGTTTTTAAAATTAACTAAAATTACAGATAATAGTTTTTGTTTCCATATTTATTAATTAATCAATTTCAAATATATGTAAATATATTTATTTTTAAACACAGAAGCAGTTTACGTCAGCTGACACCAAATTATGGCAGTCAACTTCAACAATAATTAAATATAGTTTTTGAAAATGGCATCTTCTGTTTAATATTTATTACCCAGTCCATGTATCCTTAATCTCAAATGATTACTGTTACGACTGGCGTCCTTTAATTATGCAAATATGAGTGGGCAGGTGCCTGTCTCTGATTGGTTCCCGGAAGACGACAGCAACGTCCAATTGGTGGGCTCCCGGAGGTGACAGATATAAAAGCTGAAGACGCACTTCCTGTCATCCATCCTCAGCTCATCTCAACCGGCCACACCTTTTCTGTTCAATTATGTAAAGTTATGGAGTTTGTAAGAGCTGCTGTTTGATTCATTAGTTTTCTCCTGTTTTTCTTAGTTAGGGAGTTTAGTTTTTGTCATTTGGTTTCTTTACTTTAATTAGGTAAATTGGTTAATATTCAGATAGTTTCCTTTTGTTTGTTTTTTGGCATTAGCTCACTCTGAAGCCATATGCTCTCCTTGTTGTAACATTTTTTTAAACATCATTTTTAAAATAAATATTATAAAATGTTCAACTTCGTGTGTTGGCTGCTTGAGATCTGAAGAGGATGGATCCTTTGTGTTATGACCTGGCCATCCCTAGACGGGTCGTAACAATTACTTTGTGAATTCTGCACCTAAAAATTAAGCAAAACATGAAAAACAAAACTAAAACAATATTTAAATCTAATAGGAAAACAGGGACACACACTCTAAAGTTAACAGAATTAGACAAAGTCACAACGAAATAAACTAAACCATGATGAAAACTTACAACCGTGCAACTGACGACTCAGGAACATGGGGTGTATCTCTGTCTCATAGCAGAGGTTTTATTGCTGACTGTCTTGCATGACTCCGTTTAAACGAGCCGCCGGCAGCGAGCTCAAGGCCACGTTGCACCCAACACGACGTTTTATCAAGGTGACACTCTCCCTTGTTCACTGAAAGGGCAATTTAGCTGCTCTGAGACACAAGCACCAACCACACTGCGACGTATTGATTTGAAAACCTACTGAGGGGATGTAAAGCAATTGAGCAGGCCATGTTACAGCTACATGCTCCACAAACCACGTGCAAAAAGAAAAAAGTCAGTGCTGCCTCTTTGGTGACCCTGAGCTGTGACCCCACTCAGGAGGGTGCAAAGACAGGGGGAGGGGGCGTACCATCGTCAGTCCAGTGAGCCAAAGCTCGCTTTGTCAGGCTGAAATAAAACAGATCCGGCCCAGAGAGAGGCACATATGAAGAAGTTGAGTACAGTAGGCAGAATGTAGGTTAGCAGAGTAATCCGTTAGTCCAGAGCGACGATGTCAGTGGGTTACAGTAAGGCAACTTGTGTTTGTGTGCTGCAAACTAGCATGCATGATGTTTGACTGCAGGAAAACACAGAAAATACCAGAGGAGAGGAGAGTACTCAAAACTACAAGAGCAGCACTATTTCAGCATATTTTGACTAAGGTAAAAGGAAAAAGTAGCCAAGAAATTACTAGAGTAAAAATGTATTTGGTAATCATTTCATATTTAAATATGTCATCAGATGGACAGTTAAGCGGAAATTTTGGTATTTTAATCACAAAATGATTCAGAAAAGTCAGTTTCTTTCAATAATAATGGATTCAATTTTAACAAAAACTGCAGGTGTGTGTTTGTGTCTGGAGAAGTTTTGATTAAAACATTTGGGGAGAAAACATAAATTTTACTCAAATAATAGTAGAAATTCCTTATGATAAAATTACTGAAGTAAAAGTCAAAAGTACAGAGCAGTAAAATTACTCCTTTTTTCAAAAATGTACTCAAATAATGTAACTAGTTAATACCCAACTCTGGAAAAAATAGAAAAAAGCAGTCAATAAAAAGCAGCTTTTAAAGATACAACCAAACTTAATTTTTAAATTAACAAATGTTAATAATTGATGTCTACTATTGCAAGAAAATGTGACACTTCCATCTCTGTTCATCACAGAAACACTATGCCAAACATTTCCAAATAATTTCCTTTCTTTAGCATCTTGCTGTCTGCTTTCAGGGTGAATTTGTTTGGGCGGTTGTTTTCAGCATAATCAAATCAAAAATACTTTGATAGAGTTATTGTAGATAGTGATGATGACTGTTGGAAGGAAAGGTCTCCTGTAGAGACTTCCATAGATAAAGACATGATTTCAACCTTTCAGACTCTTAATTTAGTTTTTATTGCTTATGTTGAACGTTTAAGTATTGTAAATAAGTCCAAATATGTCATAAAACAGAAGCTTTAATAGGGTGTCCTATTTTTATGTTTGTAAGACATATTGATGGGCTAAAGCGCCAAATCAGAACTGCAGATAATCAGAATAGCCAACAGAAAGGTATGGTTGGCTGATATTAAGCTTACAGTCACACAGGCTCAGTTGGACCCCTAAAGCTCTGCAGATTAGGAAAATAACCAGGCTGCTCTGCAACAGGAGAGTCCTTAAACTACTATGAAGCAAAAAACACATTTAACGCACAAAAAAGACAAAGAAAAGTCTCAAATTTGTAAAAAAAAAAAAAAAAAAAAACCAGTGCGGCTACATGGAGCCACGCTCTTATCCAGGATGCCTTCCTCCTTACCCCGTCTTCCTCCTCCAGGATCCGCACACTGCCCACCAGAAAGGAGCTGCTTTTATGTCGGAGAAATCCCGATCCACCGCTCGGTACCTCTGTGTCGTCCTCGCAGTTGGGCCGCTCCCTCTTAAATGGGACGGCGCTTCTGAACGGCGGCCATCGAAACAAACGCGGCCGGCCGCGGATCAAGCTTTCCAGCAGAACAATAAAGAGCTGCACACCGCCTCCAGCGCTGACGCTGGTGGAGGTGGTGGAGGTGGTGCAACCCGGCGCGTCGAGCGCGCAGAGAGCGCATCAGAGCCAGCGCAACAGCGACACCTGCTGGTTGGTCCCGCTACATATTTTTCCTGCAAATGTGTCTCACCTTTCCGCATTTTCTGACAATGTAGCTGCAAAGTATCATGGTTTAGTTCATGTTAATTTGATATGCAAACTATAATGGTGTAAAACTGACATTATAATTAGAAGAGAAGAAGAAAATCTCCACCCCAAAAAAGAAAATTTCTCAGACTAAAAAGTCAAAAATTTTGTAAAAAAAGAGATTTGGACAGATTTGGATTCTTGGATCTGATCTTTTGGGGTGCTTAGCCCCCAGCAGGGCTAAGGCCCGAGAGAAGTTATTTGTTGGTGCATTTTTCTGCGTCACTGCTTATCTACATTCACATCATAAATTAAATAGTTTTGTCCAACTAAAACTGTTAACAACTACATAGCCTACTGCACTGAACCCCATTGGAACCCTCCTGGTTATTCCACCAAATATTGATTTCTGAACTTTTCCTGAGTTAAATCATTAGTTTTGTTGTTTCTAAATTAATCTAAACTTAATTTCTTTGTATTGTTCAAGGTCTGAAAGCACTGCTTTTTTAAAAATAATTTTTACCTGTTCTAATTTTCTGAAAATACAAAGTTTTTGCTTGGAATTTCAGAGACATGTCAGTAGTTCGACGATCATCATTTTACTTAAACATTTATTAAGAGTAAAATCAGAGGACTGATCATTTTTTTCCAGAGCTGTATATTTATGAAACTGAATCAGACTACATCATACCTCTAATATTTTTCAAAGTCAGTATTCATAGATTTTACTTTCCAACCTTTATCTATTTTGATGTGTTGATTTTCAGAAGACTCTGGTTTTAATTGGCCAGTTTTAATTGGTCCTAATAACGCCCATGATCGTGGCGTTATTAGGACCACGCTCTGACCATCTGAGCTAACTGGCCATACATAATATTGAGTTTTCATGGAATTAAGAGAAACTTACAAGATTTCATAAATTTTGTAGCGTTGGAGAGAAAAAAAAGTGGCCCGTACGGGGATCGAACCCGCGACCTTGGCGTTATTAGCACCACGCTCTAACCAACTAAGCTAACCGGCCTTGCATTTTGTCGCGTCCAGTGTCTTTCAAGAACCGCAGACCGCCTCTGTTTACGAGGACTGGAATGTTTTAATTTATTAATCGTCATTTTAAAGACAAATGCTGCTAATAATCTAGGATATCCAGGTCTAACAAACCCTAGGGGGGCGTTACGGTCTGTTGCCATAGTTACCCCCCAAGAGAAGACGAGACTGCTCACGTGACCTGGCAAGATGGCGACCATAATGTAGAATGGGATGTAAGTGTGAGTATCTTTCGCATACCGCGGCTTTTCCCCTGAACGGGTGTGAAGATTGATCATTTCTCTTAGCGCAGCCTTGCTGGTTTTTTCCTTAAAAAGAAGTGGGACACATTTTGCTCCGTTTTGGTCCCTTTTTCCTGCTATCTGAGGAAGCGATGCGTGAATCAGCTAACGTTAGCTCTCCCCTGCCACATCTGACCACTTATTGTTTTATTGCTACTGAGCTCTTTACACTGTTATTTAGCTGGATCGCATTCAGTGATGTTCAGGTTCTCTTGTTTCTTGTGGTTGTGTCTCCTCTCTGCCAGGATCTGAGTTACCACGGTCCGTGTTTGGACGGTATTGGGAACTGCTGGTCAATTGTTCATCACATCTGGTGATCAGGATGGCCTTAAATGTCTTTGGTAAGCAGCATCACACATCAGGTGATGTAGCTGGATTGTGTTCATTTTTCTATGTGTGTATTTAGGGAAGGATAGCTTAAGATTTGTTATTTCTTTCACTTAAGGTTAATGTTTTATAAAGTTGAACAAGTAACACTGGATAAAACTGACATTAAATAATATCTACATCTAGTAGGTACAAATGCATAATACTGTGTATTAACATGTTCAGTTTTATGCAAATTAAATCTATTCGTTTTGCCCTTTATTGCATGTCTATACTCTAAGATTGAGGGTAAAAGTTCCACAGTGCAATAAAACAAAATATATTTAAATGTGATCATTAAAATAAAATTGGAAATCAGTCAATAAACAAATTAAATGTGAAAAATATTAAAAGCAAAAACATAACATACAATTCTATTTGTTATTAAATAGTTTCTGTCCACTATTTAATTATGCATTAAGCTACATCTAGATAGTTTTGCACATAATGTTCACAAATGCATTTCTCGCACATATATTTAATAAATAATTATTGTTTTCCATGCAGTTTACTACAATCATCAGTAGAATGATTGTTTGGTCAATTGTTACAATTATTAGTTTGTTTCAACATTTTTTGTATGATTTTAAAAGGCAATAAATGCCTATTTTTACCAGTTATTTCCAGATTTAATTAACAATTTAATGGATACATTCCAGAGATATTTTACCTACAATTATTTATTTTATTTTAATATATTTATTTCCTGCTTCATTCAATAAATAATGTTTTGGATTGCTACTGGTTTGTGCAAAATTGAGTTTTATGTTGAATATTTACGCTTCCCTTTGTATTAAACAGTCTGTTGTAAAGTAATTGACAACGTGCCACACCTTTCCTCGTGTATTTGCACAAAACGTCACAGTAACTGCAGTAGATTCTGGAGGCAGAGTCCATGTTATGTCTGCCCTCTTTGGGTTTGTCTTATCGAGCGGCTGTATAACTCTGAGAAGGAAGGCCGAGACGCTCTCTCCGGAAGGATTGGGAGTTATTTTGAAGACAGGATACCAAAGAGGACGAGTGCTCAAAAGATAAGGTTTGAGGAATGAGCACAGAGTACACAAGACAGGAAGTACTGCTGTTAGTTTTACACATGCAGCAAAGACAGAACAATCTGCAAGGTGCTGACCAGAGGGTACTTGTTTATTTTTATTGCTGGACTTGGAGTTTGTTGTGGAAACAATTTAATTTAATGTTTGGCTGTTGCAAGCATTGTTTCTAATGAGAGCAAATCCAGGCATCTGTTAATCGTTTACACTTATTATGATCAGGAAACTAGAGATATGGCAACATTATCTGCCAGAGTTTAATTATGTAGACATAAAGATGATGACATTTGCACAAAATGTGCTTAAATGCTTCAGAAGGGTCTTTCTGTACAGGGCTAATAAATGTTTTGCAAATACATTGTCATCTCAATATCAGTGTGTGCAATATTAATATCGCAAAAGACTCCTGAAGTGTTATGAATTTCCATTTTTGATGCACCTATTCTGTGCATTTCTTCTTATTAAAGCTTTTTTTCTAACAAAATGGCTCCTGCAGTTAAGACCAAAGACTGTGGTTCGGATAAAATCCTGATACTTTTGTCTGAACTCTTAAGCTTTGCCAGTGTTTTTATTTATTATTGTTTTGTAGGATGAAAACTCTGCATTTTCAACTACTGTGAACCTGAATCCACACAACAGCTGGCAAGAGATGAAAAGTTCTATCTAATCTGACTTTAAATTCAAGGATTATATAAAAAACATAACAGCCTAACTTTGTCCACCAGATGGCAGCGAGGCAAAGGGCAATAAGAGTATTATATTATTTCCTTTGTCTTCAGATCACGATGAGTACAGACCACCAGTCTGGAAATCTTACCGTAAGTATCAGTATAGGCACATTTTATGCAATATGTGTGATTTTACATTTCTTATCTTACATCTTTATAACTTTGAGATAAGCACAAAGTGATGCCTTCTCTGTTGATGTTTGGCAAACCATCTGAAGTCTTTTTTCTGCTGTAGTGTACCAGCTCCAGCAGGAGGCGTCACATCCTCGCAGGATCACTTGCACATCAGAGGTGAGATCATGCCTTCTAGCATCATCACTGTGTTTACCAGAAGATTTAACTTTAAAAAAAAAGCTCATAACGAGCTGCGATATTTAAATCCACAATTCTAATAATTAAATATTTATTCATTTATTTGACTTTTAAACCACCAACATAATCAGAAAAGCAGACAAAAGGTTCATTAAAACTCCTTCATACACAAGCTAATTGTCTTCCTCTGCAAAATGTAAAGGTCAAGATTCTTGCTGAACTTGCACTAATTGATACACCCCCGCACATCTGCCCAAATCAGAATGAGACACCAGATGTTTGTGGTTTGGGAGAACCCAAAGGGATTACTGTTGGGATTGTCCGTCTGTTGAATTTGTTCATAGCTGTCCCCTGAGGTTGGGCTTGTTGTGTTTGTGTAGGTACTAAATGAGCAGCTTTTGGCTTTGTGACCCAGTCCATGACCCAATTATAGCAGGCCGGCAGACTGGATTGAGGACAACCCACCTCTCCTTACCCTCGTCTGCTGCAATCAGCAGAGACTGTTTAGGTGTCACAATATGTGACTAAATAACTATTCCTTTATCTGTGACTCATATTTATTTATTTATCTAAGAGGTCTGCACTACCTCTGTGATGAGAAATGATTAAACATGATGACTTGAGTTGATTTCGCTTCATTAGTCAAAATGGAAAGTTAATTATTAGGGTGATTTCATAAAGAAAAGTTTCACACAGCTCTGGACTATAATATTTAAAAATGGGTGGCCTAAGACTCACCACTTTGAAGTATTGGTGAGATTTAAAGAGTATAACTTTTTTGTTATTCCTGCCATTCCCTGTTTAAACACAAATACCCTTTCACATTTCATCACTTTGTTTCATCATTTCTCTCAGGGGACAAAAAAGCTGAAATGTCTGGGCGTGAATTAAATCCCTCCTCTTTACTAAGTGCTGTTGATGGTGTCAATTGGGTGTTAGTAATGGTTATTAGGGCTGGCCTGGCTCGTGTCCTGGGAACACGTGCACAGCTGACATGAGGCGGGCAGTGAACCTCCGCTTTGCTCATAAACCAGCTGGATTTCCTTTATTCCAGCTGAAATGTTTCTCAGTTTCACCATCTCACACATCATGTGTC